TATTCGTGTATATCTATCCATTAAAATTAGAATAATCAATTGAACTATATTGGCCGATCTTGTTCTTTTTTTCCTTTTTGTTTTGTTGCCAACTGTTCGTTTTTTTTTGTTTTTGTTTTTTTTCTCGCTCTTCTCTGCATTGATTATCAATATAAAACGGATCATGTAAATGATTGAATAAATATAGACAACATGTTGATTAGATTGTGTAAGTCTGTGTGTGTGTGTATGGTTTTAGCAACAATATTGTATAATTTATTTCAGAAGGGGTTTTGTTGAGATTTCAGTATTTTCATAGTTAGTCCTGGGTTCGAATCTCGCGAGTACGAGATCGTAGATGCGTACTGCCACTGAGGAGTCCCATAATAGGACGAGACGGCCGTCTAGTGCTTCCAGATTTTCCATAGTGTTTTCATTGGGGATTCTGGGAAGTTCTATATTAAGATGAAATAGCTATCAAGTGTATTATGATTTCAATGGTTGGTCTTGTAACTATGATCAATAAGTACTGAAAACTGTGATATTCTACAATCTTTACAACCACCTTACACTATTGACATAAATAATTTCAGATTCATTGAACTTATGAACCGACCAATGTTAGACTATTATTGAAAACCTGGAGGCATAGGAAGGCTGTCCCATCCTAGTATGTATTGATTAAAGTTAGAGATTAACAGCGTTAGGTCCCCATTCGGTGGTCATGGATTCAATCTCCATTTCTGTGTTCATAGATGGGTACTGCCATGGAAGTGTTCTGTACTAGGATGAAACAGTAGTTCAGTGCTTGCAGGTTTTCAATGGCTGCCTGACTAAGATCACTTCTTGATTTCAATGAAGCTCAACTATCTCCCCAATCGCATACTGGTTACTTCATGCTCATTAGCTTTCTTCACTGTACTATACGACTGTTCTCCTATCCTCACAAACACGTTGGTATGCATTCCTTAACAAAGTATACTGAATATTAAGACAATTACTTGACTCTTCAAATACTTATCATCTTGTACTTCATAAAAGTACTATTCAAATTCCATTATCACAACGTTTAGAATTCTTTCATTGTATGGAATTGATAAGCAGTCATTGAATATTCACTTATGCTTATAATTGTCTTCCAGTTATAAACACTGGAGTATTTTAATTAATTGATCACTCATATAGAATATCATAACGATTACTGTGTCTTCTTTATTCTGTACTATTAAATCTAATCCAATGGATTAAATATGTTGTACCAAAACCAAGAAAGACATACATTCGATTCTGCATTAAATTACTTATTTATTTGTTCATTTGAAGACATAAATATTGGTACAAAGGGCATCGAATTCATATGCGCCACACAAGTTACTTGATTTGTGTGAGGGATGCGAAACTGCCCGGCTGCCCAGACCGAAACACGTGATCTTCTTGGAGAACTACACCCAAATCCCTCGATCTAAATGTTTGGCCCTCAAAGAAGTGGAGCAACGTCAAGAGATGCAGTCTGATGTTAACCAGTGACCAACAGGGGTCCGAGAGATGGTGCAACACAGTGGCTAGAGACGTTATCAGATATGGCTCGGAATAGAAGCCAGTGGCGAGCCTGCTGTAACCTTCTTTTACTTTCTTCATAAAGAGTGTTTATAACTTCCTTAACTGAGAGAGTTCTTCTGGTTGTACATTTCAGTTCCCCCCATCATTACTGTTCTCTTTTTTTTCCTTCTTTCATATATACGCGTCTCCCCCCTTTCTCCTCCTATTCTCACTATTTTGTGTGGCGCATATGTATCCGGTGCCCTTTGTACCAGTATGTATGTTATTAAATAAATAAATAAAATGAAGTGACCAACAATAGGTTCATACCCCATTTGTCACTTCAGGATCCTAGAACACAAATTCACTATTGGTATAAGATAGGGGTTTTCTAACTACCCTAAGTGGATCCTCCATATCCATTAACCAGATTTAAGCTCCTGCTGAATATTCACTTTTCGTCCTCTCAATTTCGTAGAGAACACCCCCTCTACTAGAAGGCAATGAGTAGGACTTTCCTGTCCGATCACTGCAGTTTAATTCAGTCAGTATTAAATTCGCCAGTCTAGTATACTTTCTTTAGTTGATATTTATTATTTGATGAATAATACCCTGAATACCTACCCATAACCTTAAAAAGAACAATAACAATATAAGCAAAGTTGTCTTTTACAAGAAACATAATAATATATAATAATAACAAGAACATTAAAGAATTGACAATAGTCAGTAATCATTATAGGACTATATCGTCATCATCATCATCATCATCATCATTATGGTCATCAACATCAAAGGAAGAGGGCAAAGAAGAAGAAGAAGAAGAAGAAGAAAAAATAGAGAAAAACACCCATAAACAACATCTCACTATTCGAAGAAAACAAAACTGTCTTCTCTTATTCCATAAACTTTTATCATTATTGCTTTTGTTATAGAATATAATACAAGCAAAAAAACAAATAAATGGTGAAGTTGTAATGAGAAAAGTTTTTTCTTTTCTTTTTTTTCTTTTCTCTTTTTCATTTTTCTCTTTTTTTCTTTTCTTCTTTTTTTTCTTTCTTTACAGATTTTTTTTGATAAATAAATAAAATGGTAAATATTTTTTTCGATCTATAAACTTTTCTTTTCTGTTTTTCTTTTTTTCTTTTTTTTTTTAATTTTATCATTCAAAGTTCATTAACTTAAAGAAAATGTACATGATACATTATAAAAAGTAAACAACAAAAAAAAACAAAAAAAAACGAAAAAAAAACAAAAAAAACTTGGCAGACAAGGCACACAGTAATAATAATAATAGTAAATAGTAATAATAATAATAATAATAATAATTGGATAATATAACTAACTAAATATTGATTGTTTTCTTTTCTTCCTTTTTTTTTCTTCATTCAACTCCATACTACTTATATATTCAGATCATTTTTAATAAAAGCAACATTCTGATTAGTATATATATATATATATAACAATGAATTAAGCCATCCAATAAATATAGGTAGTTAAATAGATGAAATAAAGCCATAAAAAAGGATAGACAAGGATATCCAAATGATATTAGTATGTTGTTGTATACAGGATAGTATGTTGTTTATAGTTACTGTTTCTAAGGGGAAAACCATTCAATTGAATGGATCCTCAAGCAATAGAATGATAATTATTCATATAAGAAATAAGTTTTTCATCGAATATCTTCATAAATAATAAACGATATCTAAATAAAAGATTCAGTACAGACCAGAAAGAAAGAAAAAGAAGGAAAAAGAAGAAAGAAAGAAAGAAAAAAAGAAAGAAAAGAGAGGAGAAAGAAAAAAAGAAGCACAACAAATAAAAGACAAGTTTAAAAAAAGGAGGGAATTTTTGTCTTTCTTTTCTTTTTTCTCCCTACTTTTTATGTAATCAATGAAAGAAGCTAAAAGATATCATTGACTTTCATGTAGATGGTAACAGAATACCCTGAAGTAAGATTTCGTTTAAACTAATTAGTTAATCAATAGTATCCTGATCATAGTTACTAACTCTGTTTGTTGTTTTTTTTCTTTGTTCTAGTTGGAACTTCGGAGGGGGGTGTATATTTTCTTAAATAGAATATAAATAGAGTATATATGTGTGTATGTATGTATGTATGTGTGTATGTATGTATCAGAATGTATATATCAACCTAAATAAGAGAACAGTTGATACTTAACAAATTCCCCATGGCAACTCATGATTACACATCACAGATATTATAGTTATACCTTTCTATAAATGAAATGTATTGAATTTCAAGAGACAAAATTATGTAATTCAATTGAATGTTTGAAAAACAGAAGGTTATAGACAAACAGACGAATCAACTATCAGTCATACTCTTGTAATCCAACAAAAAGAGAAAAGAATCTTTGATATTGGAAGAACATTAAGGAATATAGCTATGAACATTCGTACTCTTGTAATCCAACAAAAAGAGAATCTTTGATATTAGAAGAACATTAAAGAATATAGCTATATAGAAACAATAATTAATCTTTGTATCATTGATCATCAAGTACTTATCAACTATAATAATTAAAAAATAATTAAACGTTTTACTCCCCCCCCCTAAATAAAAATTAGCAAAATAAAAAAAATTTTTTCATTATTTATCCTCATACTTTCATTATGTAGAAGAATATAAATAAACTAAACTGTGGGTGTGTTGGGGGTTAGAGATGGGGGAGGGGTGGTTAGTTTGTTAGGGGGGGTGTTGTTAAGTGGAAACTAAAGCTGAATAAAACAAAAGTTTGTTAAATGCACTTTATATATATATATATATATATATATATATATTTGTCTTCATTTATCAGTAGACATTTTTGTTGTTGCTAAGGCAACTAAACGTTGTGAAAGGGGAAACTGTTTTTTTTTGTAGAAAAAACACAATGTAAAAGCAAGACGATAAAAAAGAAGAAGGAAAGAGAGAAAAACGATTTCGATCAAATGGTTTACATATTTTCATCGAAATAACGTTCTTTTTATTGATTAATTGATTGATTAATTGAATAAATAAATAGTTCCATTGGATATTGAACATGGTAACCGATTGTTTTTAGGATAGCAACAACAATAACAAAATGAATATGTTATTACATCATCACTGTTGTGGTTATGAGTGTTAGATACTATATACTTTTAGAGTTAAATACATAAATATTTATATATGTATAGATGTATGATGTAAGGAAAATAGAGCAACATAGAGTATCATTGATCGACCTCGGTAATAATGAACATGAATAGTGCTAATAATACTCATTAATAATAATAATAACCATATAAGTAATATAAGTAGTATTGGCATGCTTAGTTATTAGTTGGCAAAAATAATAATAATAATTTCATAACTCCTAGGATAAATTGAGATCAATCATGATGATGTAATAGTGTAATCATTGATGTAAATGATAAAAAATAGTAATAATATATATGAATAATATTCAATAGAAATTAATAATCGATTGTTTCTATGCCATAATAATAGGTGATGATGGTGAATAACCAGGTGTTGGTGGTGATAATGATGAATTAATACGTGAATTTGCTGTACGTAAATTAGTTGTTGTCCTGGTACGATTACGTAATACTTGTAACATAATTAATTTACGATGTCCACTTCTTTCACCTAATGCAACTAATGCACGTTTATCATTACTTATTTTTACTTGTAATATTTCAATATTTGATGTAAACCAACACATTTGATTACCATCACGTATACGCCATACACGTATTGAACCATCCCAACTACCAGTAACAACAACTTCTGAATCTAATGAAATTGCTACACTCAGAACCTGAAATAGGAGAAAAAAGAAATGTGAACAGCAAGCCAAAACTTTATATAGATTACTTAATATCTATCAATTAATATCATAAGTTTAATACAGATTATATCTTGATAGTTAGATTCATGAGTCAATTAAAGCTAAACCACCATGGAAAACCTGGAAACATTGGATGGCCGTTTCGTTCTATTAAGGGACTCCTCAGTGGCAGTGCGCAACTACGATCCCGCAATCGCGAGATTCGAACCCATATCCTACTAGTCTCAACCTCGTGTATTGCTTCAAATTAGACATTAACACCGTTGGATGATAGCTGGCTCAGTGGTCTATCGGTTAAGTGCTCTGGTGCGAGACTGGTAGGTCCTAGGTTCGAATCTCGCGAGTGCGGGATCGTGTATGCGCACTGCCGAGGAGTCCCATAATAGGATGAAACGACCATCCAGTGCTTCCAGGTTTTCCATGGTGGTCTAGCTTCAATTGACTCATGATTTCAACGATGAAAATACTGATATCTCCACAAAACCCTCTTCTGAACAGATTATATCATCAATTTATGTGTTCAAATAGAACATTACAAGACTAGAGAGTTGAAATGACCTATTCATCGGTAAACAATTGAGATCCAATTAGTCGATAGTTTTCCTACTATGTGAATTAATATATTACTTCTAATCAATTAACAGTGTGGTGTGGGTTATTTATATCGGCCTGCTTGAATACCTGGGCTACCTGTTTCTGCCATCTAAATATTTCAACAAGTTATCTGGGTTTTTTTTAATTTGTTTTAACCTATCATTATGTCTATTAATCGCATAACCTACACAGGCGCGTTTATAAAAAGCTTATGTCCTTTCGCTGCAAAAATTACAAACAAGCACAATAAGAGACATCGTGGTGGTTGGCAATATGCTTTAAAGAGAATAAACATCAATCAAATGTCGATTCCCGAGCTACTTAACTCTAACTGTCGATCACTAATTAACAAGGTGGACTATCTCCAATTTCTGCTAAGTCAAAACATGTATCGTAATTGTGGTGTCATCACAATTCAAGAATCTTGGTTAACTGACTTACAGGATGATTGCTTAGTGTCATTACGTGATTTTAATATCTATCGTCAGGATCGATCAAACAATAAAAAGACTTGTGGTGGCGGAGTAGCTACTTTTGTAAACGTTAACTGGTGTCGATCTACTTTTGCCTGTTTCAAGTTTTCAAACGACTTTATTGACTGTCTAACTTTAAGGTGCCGTCCAAAACACCTGAATAAATACAAATATATTTATGTTACCAATATCTACATGACTCCAGACTGCACATCATCTGCGCTATCTGTCTTCACTGATAAATTTACTGAATTCGCCGTTACTGCCTTCAGTGATTCACTTTCAATTGTATGTGGTGATTTCAATTCATGTGAGTGTAGCTTCCTTACATCACTAGGTCACCTAAATGTAGTAGATTTTCCTACTCGTTTGAATGCTCATCTAGACTTGGTTTTCATTAATGATGTGGGTGCCTATGTGACTCGCAAACGTGCTCCATTGTCTAGTTCGGATCACTGTATAATTCGTGTCCTGCCTAAAGTATATGGTAAACATGGAAAGAGTACACACATACTCCATACCAAAAAAGTAATATATAGGAGTTACTCAGAAGAAAATTTACAAAATCTGAAAAACATGTTTCGTACGACCAACTGGGAAGTACTTACAGATGACTCAATAGAAAACACAACGGATGTCATCACCTCTTATCTTAAATTCTGTTTTGATATTTGCTGTCCTACCGAAACCTTCTTTTTAAGTTTTGATCGACTTACATCTCCACAACTAAAACGACTACGGAGGGTAAAAGAAAGGATGTACAAGGAGAAAAACACTATTGAAGTTCGTAAGTTAAATGATCAAATAAACCAAGAGATTAGACGTCTCAACTGTGTGTTCACTCAAAAACTCCTATCTTGTAGAAGCTCTCCAAGTATGTGGAAACTCTTTAAAGAAATTACAGGGGACAGGTAGACTAGAAGCGAAAACCAGCTAAATGTTTGTGACTTAAATAAGTCCTTTATTCATCAGTCATCTGACATCATGCTCCCTATATCCAAGGGTTTGAAGAATAGTTGTGTCCCCAGTTTTACTGAAAATGATGTCCGGAAATGTCTCCAGTCTCTGAATTCATCTCAATGTTTAGGACCTGATGGTATCCCAAACCTCCTTTTTAAAAAATGTGCTGATGTTTTATGTTATCCATTAACAAATATCTTTAACAGATCCTTCTCAACTAATGTCTTACCGAAAATGTGGAGAAAGATAAAGATAATCCCTATACCTAAGAAAGCTTCTGGTGATAAAAATGCGAAACTTAGACCCATTGCAATAACCTCACCTTTCCTCAAAATAATGGAAAAATTACTGATACAACCACTTCAACCTTCAATAAAAGAGTACTGTGATCCATTTCAGTTTGCTTACAAATGCAAAAGAAGCACATTAGATGCCGTTGCTGTTCTGCATCACAATATAGTGTTCGGGTTGGAAAAGGGTAAGAAGTATGTTAGATGCGCTTTTCTGGACTTTACTTCTGCTTTTGATTCTATTCCAAGACACCTCTTACTTAACAAGCTGATTCGCATCGACACTGACAGCTGGATAATCAATTGGCTACGCTCCTACCTTTCTGGAAGAGAACAGTACACTGTATTTGAAAGAAAGTGTTCAACATCTCTACTGTCTACTGTAGGTGTGCCACAAGGAGCTGTTCTTTCACCTCTGCTCTTCTCTTTCTTTTTGCATGATCTGCCATCTTCCACAGAAAACACTTTTGTAAAATATGCGGACGACCTCACTGTATGTATGCCAATTTCTACCTCCTTACATCCTATAGAAATGAATGAGTTTTTGTCTCGTATTGAAAGGTGGTCTGTTGGTAATGGTCTCTTGCTCAATCCATCTAAATGTCAAGCTGTTAATTTTAGCTTGAGACATGGACAGAACCTATACTCTATGTTGGGATCCCATAATGCTTGTGCCATTGGAGACTCCTTAATAAACACAGTGTCGAGGGTCAAATATCTTGGTGTTACTTTTTCCTCTGATCTTTCTTGGTCTTCTCATGTTTTACTATTATCGAAAAAAGTTTACCGCTTGACATACTACATAAAGAGGCTGCATGCTTTTGGGATTACTCGCCATTTACTCTTACAATTTGTAAATTCCTGCATATTACCTATTATTTTATATTGTTCTCCATTATTCTTTCCTGGGCTTTTGAGAAAAGACTTTGCTATTTTGCGTAGAATGCTGAAGGCGGTTTGCAAGGTATGTGGTGAATCTTTTGAAGTCATTGTTAATATGCTTGTGGATAGACATCTTAAGTGTTGCAAACTCTTGGCAGGTGTTATCTTATCAGATACTAACCATCCGCTTCATTCATATCTTTCTCCTTGTATATCTTCTGGTAGAACGAGACGTAAATACATTAAAATCCATGCACGCAAGCAAATCTATAAAAGTTCTGTAATACCTTACTTAGCAAATTTACTTTGTGACGAACAGGCTGTTAGAGTTGACCTAGTAAATAACCTGTCTTCTTAAGCATGTCTCAAATTCGATAATTTGTATAAAGTCGGTTTTTCCTAGACTTTTTTTTTTTTTTTTTTTTTTTTTTTTTTTTTTTTTTTTTTTTTTTTTTTTTTTTTTTTTTTTTTTTTTTTTTTTTCGGGTTTCCTTTTTTGGTAAAAAACTTGTTGAAATAACTCGTGCTGAGAATTCTATATTGTACCAGATTATAATATTGAATAAAGCCATTAATAATAATAATAATAATAATAATCCACATAAGTAGTATATGAAGATGGTCAGACATAGAATGTATTTCAGTAGAAGATCGATAAGGAACGAACAGGAATGAAACGCAATCGGTATGAAAATGCATGAACAATAATAATCGGAGATTATGGATTAATATTTGCAAAAGGAACAGTCAACATTGAGACAACTGATTAATAGTTTTCAAATTAACTGTTTTCTGTATGCAAAGATGGATAGTGGCTAGCAGTGGAATCCAGTTTGACGCGCTTTTCGTCCTATTGGGGACCCGTCAGCTGGGTGTACCTGCATCTCAGACTTGCTGATGTTCACTCTAGGACTCGAACACAGTAGCTTTCGCTTCAATCTTTGCTTATAATGCATGTGAAATAAGACTATGTCGAGGCAATAAGCACATTATGCACATATGCCAATAAGAGACTGACCAGTCACAGTCCTAAACATCAATGGGAAGATTCAAACAAGTAACTCTACGTGAATGTTTACTGTCTGGTTGTCAGATTTTAGTGAGATAGTCTGTAACTTTCGTATCGAATACATTCGATTATCCCCACTCTTGTACTTGTTCACTACAACAGTTTTCACAAATAGTTCAGCCAACTGAATTCTAAATAATACAATCAACTAGAAGTATCATTATTCATCACTATTTATATCTGAAAATGCAACTGACACATTTAGAATATTCTAAGTATATAAACAAACCAATCAGATACTAAGATGCATTCTCAAGGTCATGTCACAGATGACTTACATCATCAGCATGTCCTTCTAATGTATGCAATAAACGTTCATCAGGCATTGTCCATATTCTAGCTGTTTGATCTTGTGATCCAGTTACTAGATAATGTCCATCTGTAGATAATTTCACACAATGTATTGTTTCAGTATGAGGTGGTAACATAGTCAAGTTGCCACCTTCTAATGTTGCACTAATTTGTATTTGACGCATCACTCGTCCAGTTAATAAATTCCATACGAATAATTCACCTCGACGTGTACCTAAAATTGTATGAATACAAAAATAAGAGGACTTTAGGACTGAACAATAATGCTGATACAGATTTTAAGCAAAGATGAAAGGTGTATAATGCTGAAAGAAAATGAGACCAATCTATTGCAGTATTATACATTAATGCGAAGATCCGAGCAACCAATATATATGAATTAAAATTTCCTTCATTCTACAAGTCAGTGTGCTATCTAGACTTAGTTGCTAAGTGGACAACGCGATGACTTTTGAAAGGCACGGTTTCGGGTTCGATTCTAAGAGTGAAAATCAAATTTGGCATGAAGATGCATCCATCTGACGAGTCATCAAAAGGACAAAACGCGTGTCTTAGATTCCGCCGCTAGCCAGTATCCATATCTACTTATATTCATGTAGTACTCTTTGCATTTTAGTATATTATTCATGGATCACTTTTTCATTATAGCTGATGTCTGTTTGTGTTTAAAATTCAAGCCCTAAATACTTATGCCTAAAACTAGGGACACTGTAGGAACTCTTAAAAATCTATGTGGGTCCTTTACAAGATGTGGAAAACGGATAGCCTAAATCCTTGTGAACGAATTTGTGTGTCATTGTTTTCTCGATTTACAGATGCAGTAGTCTGCAGAAAATATATTGATTATGTAACATCTGGTTACATATTGAAGTATTGTTGTTTTTCCCGGTTTCCTAATTCGCTAAAAACTGACCGGAAGTTCGTCGTGTTTGTTTTTAAACTGCTACTTGTCTTGATGATAAAATGAACAACTATGTCATTCATCAAAAAAAGGAAGGAATGCATTTAAGAGAAGTGTGCTAGATCCAATTGAATTGAAAATTCATTTTATTTGATTTATTTATTTAAACACATAAATACTGGTACAAAGGGGCCACCAGATATATATGCGCCTCACAAATCTCATTTGATTTGTGTCAGGGCTGTGATACTGCTCAGGTGCACAAACTGAAGCAGGTGATTTACTTAGGAGGCCACACCCCGAGTCTGATCCACAAGGCAGTGGAGCATCGTAAGGAGATGCAGTCCCATGGTAGCCGGTGACCAACGATTGATTCATATGTCATTTTTTCCTTCAGGATACTGGAGCCCATGTGCACCATTGGTTTGGAATCAGGGTTTTCCAACTCCCCTAGATGAACTTTCCATATCCATCAACCGGGTTGAAGCGTTGGACATTCGCTTTTTGTCCTCTCACTTTCGTGAACAACACCCTTGCCATCAGAAGGCAGTGAGTAGGACTTCCTTGGCAGAGGATATATACGCGTGGCCATGTGAAAGCATTTCGAGAGGGAGAGATTATTATGCCATTTGAAGATCAAGGAGACTGTAATAAGAATGTCTACTAATATATCAATGAACAAAAAGTATGATGATAACAGAATGATGTAACTGTGTATCACGTTTAGTTCCAGTGTAACATAATTGTAGTGAATTTATGAATCAAATTACTCCATCGTATGCTAAGTTTGTCAGATATCTGATGTTAGATAAATAGAGGCAGTCTGTGAGAAACCCTACTTGACCTAGGTTTCGTGTTAGTTGGGAATCGTCAGCAAGGCATACTTGAAATCTGAAAGGGGTTCCCTGTGGAAATCGAAAGGGTGTCACCTTGTTTACAGTCACTCAAATTCTGAGACTAAGACTAACCACCTGTTGAATTGAAACACCCCTAAAACTAACTGGTTACTACTCAGTGATCAATCGTTTGTAGACGATCAATACTTTACGATTAAATCTATAATCCTTTTAGTTATTCTTTGAAATTTCCTAAAAAAGGTCAACTAACCTGTTACAGCTTCATCATTTCCAATAATTTCGGTAGCTTCAGCTTTAGCATTGAATGTGATAAATTTAGGTTGATGTATACCCTATGAGAAGGTAATAAACAAAATAGGAAAATTAAAACTGTATTAAAAATATAAACAGAAACGAATGATTGCTGGCAGTGAAAAGCAGGACGAGTGTCGTTTTGTCCTATTTACAACTTGTTAGATAGTATTCGAGTTTTGGAGGTGAACATCATTGCTGAGGAGTCCCACAATAAGACAAAACGGCTGTCCAGTACTTCCAGGTTTTCCATGGTGGTCTAACTTGGACTGACTAATGAATTCTGATTGTTAGACATAAATTAAAGAATCAGACATATGATCACTTTAGTAATAAATTTGTGTTTGTTGTTCTACTACAGAAAACAGCAATTTCAATCTAAAATTGTGCACATATCCATTTATTGGGATTGAATGAGCAAGATCCATTTGTCCACCATATGTAATCGAACCAATATCAGTCGATTGTGCCAAACAATTTATCTTTGATGTCCAGAAAGTAGGTCAATCCTCAAAGTGGTTATATATAAATATACATACATACATTTATGTAAGTGTATAAATATCCGCCTTCAATTCTTCTAGGGCTACTACCAATTCCAAGCTCGGATAAAGGAGTAGCGTTGAGCGTCGGATCAGTAACCTCATCCTGTAGAAAACAACCTTGTTAGACGAAAAACGCTAACCAGTAGAAGTTGTGCACACATCAACCAATCACATCCCTATAAGATTGTATACATCATCATATGACTTGACAAATTATGTAACAGAAGTTAACAATTAGCAGCATTCAATGTCCTATCTTGTATCGGAGACGAAAAATAAAAAAAAATTGTAATCCACAATGTAACTATAGATACGTACACTCACACACACACACACACAGAACTCCAGATACAAACATAATGGTAGGCACACACGTAAAACAAGTTATTTTCCATTTTGATAAATATTATGAATAGTAAGTAATATATAAACGTAACCATATGATTGATCATGAATGAAATATACTGCAGTTTTTCTGAACCTTTTTTCTTCTTTTTTTCTGGATCCTTTCAATATTAATTTAAAAAGAATTCGATAAAGATTATGCTGTGTTGACGATTTTCAACAAACTAATGATCTTAGTAAGTAAAGATGGATATTTGTTAGGAGTGGAATACAGGACGTGTGTTTCATCCTAATTGGGACTTGAACTCAGTACCTTTCGCTTCAAATGCCATCAAGTTATCCACTCAGCTACTGAGTTCTGATAGCCACTTGCTTTTGCGATGGTGTGAAGTACTGGGTTCGAGTCTCAGAGTGAACACCAACTCTGAGATGAAGGTATATCCAGATGATGAGTCCCAAATAGGACGAAAAGCGCTTCAAACTGGATTCCATTGCTAGCCACTATCCATCTTCACTTACAATGCTTGTGAAATAAAGCTATATCGAGGCAATACGCACAGTATATATGCACAGTGCATATATGCCAATTAGAGACTGACTAGTTTCAGTCCTAAAACTTCAATGGGAATATTTAAACAAGCAATACTAAGTGAAAATTAATGAACTTAGGTTTTAGCGAAGTTTTTCAAACTCAATTGTAGATAATCTATTCATTGTACAAATAATGAGAATGATATTTCACATTCACCTTGGTTTTAGAATATGAATCAACAGTATGAAACCTATAGAAAATAGATTGTCTGATATATAGTTTTTTTATGTGACTGTGGTCAGAAAATGAGATCTTTGGGGACCAGAGTATTGAGGGACGATATTAGCAAAACGACATAGCAAAACATGATTTTGATGGAGTTTTGTTCTTTGAGCTGAAGTTTGTGTTGATGATGTCCTTCAGAAGGACGAAGAATATTCCACAACAAAACCATCCAGCTAAGAGAACAAAACTCTATCAAAATCATCCACCTGAGCTAAAAATCTTTTTCATTATCACAAAATATGATGTTCAGCGAAATCTAAATGACCATGGTGCAATTATTGCTGAGTTAAATCTGTCAATACAAAAAAAATGGTTTTAAGGGTTATTTAGACGGTGGTGAATCAATTGAAGTTAGACATCAGCACCGTTGGATCTCCTTCCAGTTGTCAACAGATCAAGTGTTCGTGCGCCAGACTGAATGTCATAGGTTCGATTATCGCTTCTGAGTTTGTGGATTCAAACTGGTGAGGAGTTTTATACTAGAATGAAACGACTTTCTAATGCTTCTAGGTTTTCAATGTTAGTTTAACTAAGATCACCTATTCATAGGCAAACAAATATCTCGCCGACTCCACAAATGATGTTAACTTGTTGAAATAAATTAAGCATTTTTGTTTTTGTTGATTTATATTATCATTTCGTCAACCACTAACCTGAAAAGTTTTGACGCTCTTACTTACTAACATACTTATTCCTGTTAACCCTCGTGGAGGAACATAGGCGGTCCATCAATATTCTCCATCTAACCCTGTACCAAGCAATCCTTTCCACTTCTTTCTAGTTGCTTTTCATTCTTTTCATATCTGATTCCAATTATCAACGCAATGTGTTCTTTGGCCTTTCTCTTTCTCGTTCCCCTTCAAGATTCTAAGTTAGCGCTTCCCTCATGATGCAGTTTGATGATTTCCTCAATGTGTATCCTATCCACTTACAACGTCTTGTCCTAATTTCCTGTTCAGTGGAAGTTGGTATGTTTCTTCCAACAGTAGGCTATCGCTGATGGTATCCGATCAACAGATATTGTGTATCTTGTGTAGACAAATGTTTATAATTACTTGTACATTTTTGATGATGGTTGTAGTAATGGTTTTCCACTTTTCAACTCCGTACAATAGAACTGTCTTGACATTCGTATTGAAGATTCACATTCTGATATTGATTGTTAGTTGTTTTAAGTTCCATATATATTCTTCAATTGTAGAAATGTTGTCCTTCCTTTACCGATCCTCACTTTTACGTCTGCATCACATCCTCCTTGTTCATCGATGATACTGTCCAGGTACGTGAAAGACTCCACATTCTCCACAGTTTCTTCATCAAGTGTGACTAGATTAGCGTTTGACACTCTTATATAATAACCTAAATGATTTACATAAACTCAATGTGATATTGTAGTGAACGAGATTACGAGTGGGAACAATCGATTATTTCACTATCAATTAATTGTCTTAATCTTGACTATTCCTTCTATAAATATCAATCCTTCGTCTCTGATTATTATTGTTCATGCATTTCTATACCAATTGCGTTTCATTTCCGTTCTTTTCTTATCGATCTTCTACTGAAATACACTCAATGCCCGACCATCGTTATATATTACTTAAGTGGATATAAGTAACTCACACCATAGTACCACACCATAAAATTAAAAAAATAACATTTCTATCTGAACAAGGTAAAAGTGTTTGTGAACAGTAGAGGGAGTACTGTAAGTAATAGACTAGGAACAAATTAAGGAATAATAAGTAATCATCTTCATATACTACTTATGTAGATATAAGCAACTCACACTACAATCATGATTGAATGAATGAAAGCTTCCGACTTTTTTTTTTGTAATTTTATCAGTTTCACTCAACTGGGTTGTTTTTTTGTTTATTTTTTGATAATGAAAATATGTAGACAAACTATTTATTGACATTTACATGATCAATATGTCGGTAATGAAGTACAGTTTTGATGTTTGTTACTAGTATGTTACTCCCTACAAACTAAATGAAACTATCCTAGTTATTTGCTTTCTAGTAAATATGAATACATAAAGATAAATCTATATTCGATATTTCTTATAAATAGTTTGATATGTTTATCTACTTATGAGTAGTGGTGTGTATCATCATCATCATCATCATCATCATCATCATCATCATCATCGTCGTCGTCGTCACCGTCGTCGTCATCATCATCATCATCAGCAGCATACATCGGTAATAAAAAGTGTTAACGATTGATTTTACATGTGACTAGTTAGTTACATGTGATTAGATTCGAGTACTTATGTAAGGTGTATTGTAAGGATGTTTAAGGTATTGTGCAAGTCTAACTGTTTTCTCAAATATAGATCAAAATAAAAAAAATACCTATTAAATGATTGATATACTTGATAGAAACAATAATGTTGAAATGTTTAACCTAATTAGAAGAAACAAAAGAAACTTTGGTGCATCATATTAATGGATTTATTCAGTCAGTCAGTCAGTCAGTCAGCTACAACATGAGACCATGACATTGAAGAACATATGGAACTCCAAACAACTGTCGATTAACTTCAAAGTGAGAATCTTCAATACGAACGTCAAGACAGTCCTACTGTACGGAGCTGAAACATGGACAACTAATAAATCCATCATCAAGAAGGTACAAGTATTTATAAAAAGTTGTTTAAGCAAAATACTCAATATTCACTAGCCGAATACTATCAGCAACAACCTACTAAGGGAGAGGACAAGCCAACTTCCAGCTAAAGAGGAAATTAGGAAAAGACGTTGGAAGTGGATCGGACATATATTGAGGAAATCACCAATGTGCATCACGAGGCAAGCGCTAACTTGGAATCCGGCAGGGAAGTGGAAAAGAGGAAAGCCAAAGAACACATTACGTCGGGAAATAGAAGCAGATATGAAAAGTATGAATAACAACTGGGAAGAACTGGAAAGGATTGCTCAGGACAGAGTTGGATGGAGAATGCTGGTGAGCGGCCTATGCTCCTCGACGAGGGGTAACAGGCATAAGTAAGTAAGTACCATGACATTGAAAACAGGGATGATATAATGGGACGAACATTGTAGAAGTACAACTTGTAAGAGTATCATAATTTGTAGATCCTATTTCTAAGCTTTCATTTGACTGATATATCGTTGTCACGTATTACTATCCTACAATTATTACTATAGTTAATTATTCTCCCATTACTCTGGTTTTGTATCGCTTTTGACTATGTTATGTACACATTGTAATGACATAGTTGTATGGCTTTGTGGTCGGATATTTCGAGGATATTATTGTCTGCTTTGAGTTATAATTCACTCTCCATCTTCTGATTAAGCACTAGTTGAGAAAGAGCTCAGGGATCAATAAGCGCTAAGGTATTAGTTGTCGTCAATTGATCTGTGTCAACCTGTAAATAAAGGGTCATGGATCCTACTGGGAATATCAAAGAACTAGGGTGAGAAAGATACCATATGGCTGCTTTCTTGTCATTACTGTCGGATCAATATAATTCAATTAAGCAATCTGTTTTTTTCCCGAAGGAACGCTAAACAAATACTGATCCATTTGATTCTTCAAAAGGCTACCAAAAAGCTTCTATAAATGACTGGTACATAGTCCCATTTAACCGTTGTGAACGAACTTAATTAAAGACAGATGTCATAATGTTATTTGTTTATGATCTGAGGATTATATGCATCATAAGCGTTTTGAGCTCTGTGTAGAGTTTTCATTTACGCCATTATTCTTGGTCTAGAACTTCATGTTATTCGGTACTCATCATTAAGATGTACCAGTAATCTTCAAGGAATTGATGCGTCATGGTGAATTGGAACCCAGATCACGAAATTTCACAGTGTGAAACGTTATCACTGAGATATTCAAGATACGACTGACTTCTGTTAGGATAATTTACAATTGACTGATGACTAAGTAGTGAACATGATCATGCTTATTTAGTCTTTTAGTGCTGATCGAATTCGATCAATAAACTTACAGCGTGACTACTAGTCTAAATGATTAAACATCTAATTGATATCATGAACCAATCTAAGACTACTACTGGAAACCTTGAGGCATTGTACGGCTCTTTCGACCTAGTATGGGATTCGTCATCAGTGCGCGTCCACAATCCTGCACGAGGAAATCGAACCCATGATCGTCAGTCTGGAGTGTGAACACTTAACCTCCAGACCACTGAGAGGGGACATCTAACCGTGTTAGCGTCTCATGGACAGATTTATATAAATGTTATAACCTGTAAAATCTTCATTCCTAGTCTGTTTTAATTACTCAATAGATGACAATCAAGCCAAAACTTACCACATAACTTGCAGTTAAATCAAATACCATAAAGTAAGCTAATTCATCCGTAGGATTATTTAATCCAGCAACAACTAGACGATCATCCAATGAAATATTTAAATATGATACAGAATCTTTTAATAATGGATTGACTGGATGATATGGAATAATATGATCAGATTGATTCCCAGTTAAATTCCATACTAATATAGCTGGTCCTTCTTGTGTAACTTGTGCTATAATCACATATTCACTTGATCGTGTTATACAAGTAGCTGTACACATAATTTCAATTGGCATTTCAAGTTGTCGACCTGTAGCAAAATCCCATAACTAAAAACAAGAAGATTTAAAAAAATAGAAAATTTAGAAAAGGAAGTGATCTCTTTAGTTCTCGACTGTTGCTGCTACCTTGACGTGATGGTTGAGCTTGCCTATCGTGATGAACCAATCGAGCTATACTGGCTGGAACAATTGTTCCTCAAGGTTCTACCATGTTAGGCAGGTCGATTGAAGAGCGGTAAGATTAAAAGCAGCAAATACAAGGTCCGAAGGCGAAGTTATACTGCTGACCACTGTATTCATAATCAATTCCTACTTCGATCTCTTTAGTTTGTTTCGCTCAATTGTGTATACAGTGAAAATCCATACGTTCATGGAAATAGAGAAGATGAACTTTTAAAATGACTTTATATTTTGTACAGAAATAGTACAACTCTGTTCATTTTGATTGAGATCATGAATTGATCAATGTTAGACTACCAATATTGCAAACCTGGAAGCACTGTACGGCCATCCTGTCCTATTGTGGGACTCCTCAGTGGCAGTGCGCATCCACTATCTCGCCTCGCGAGATTCTGACCCAGGACCTACCAGTCTCGCGCGTGAGTACTTGACCGACAGACCACTGAGCCGGTATCCAATGTTGTTAATGTATGTCCTGGGTTCGAATCTCGCGAGGTGGGATCGTGGATGCGCACTGCCACTGAGGAGTCCCATAATAGAACGAAACAGCCGTTCAGTGCTTTCAGGTTTTCCATGGTGGTCTAGCTTCAATTGACTTATGATTTCGACTATATTATTAAGTCGGGAAATGTTCGATCTGTTTTCTGATTATAATGGCACCTTTGAATATAAAGAATGATATCCTATTTGGAATGCATTGAGGCTGTCTGAAATATAACCATAGAACCTTGTCTATCATATTCTCTTATTCCAATTCGAGATTGTGAAATAGAATTTGAACATATCAAGTGAATAATCGAAGTTGAGATTATTTCAGCCTCGATTCAAGGTTAACCATGGTACTCAAAGTGTATTAGTAGTCATAGTTTAGGACATTAGACTACAGAAAAAAAAATATGGCACACTTGGGGTAAGGCAACTTTAGCATGGATTCTGATTAACGAATCTTCTCTAGAAATCGATTAATCTGTATGAGTAACAGGAACCGTATATATATAAAATGAACCAATCAGATTCAAGATGGAAATTCTATTTTTCAAATGTAATTTCAGAAGTGATGACAACTAAATTGTACTTTATTAAGAACTAATGTGAAAGGCAAGTTACAAGAAATATCCAATCACGTATGTCTGAAGAACGATTACCACGACGCGCTATGCTGACTAGTGAAGGGGATGGTTAAAAGAGAGTTAGAAGCGGCCAAACTAAAACGTGGAATCAGTCACTGAAGTCACTAACTTCTAATCTGAGCCATGTTGGTAGATGCAGACTACTTGGTTGGGGTCCGCTTGACTATCGTAACCAATGGTTGGAGACTCTGGGTGACGTGGCTCAGAATCGATCACAATGGCGTGGGTGTATGCACTCTTTATCTTTCCCAAAACCGTGAGATTAAAATTGCTTCATACTTATCTTTCTCTCTGTACTATATCCTTTTCATACAATCTTTCTTTTATATATTACCACCACTGAATTAACTACTTCTATGAATTTGGTGTTCATCTTGTTGCGCTAATGAGGTATGGCAACTTGAACCGATGCATATGTGTGCCTGGTCCTACGATGTAGCTGACTGACTGATCATAAAGACTGTATCTTATTCAAGACATAATCAAGAGTGTTTATGGAATCTTTTGAACAATATAACACCATTGATACAGAGAATCATCAAAGGTCTTTTGAGAACAACATGGTTCAAATGCATCCGTCATTGGTCTTCGCTCGAATTCCGAGCTTCAGAATTCTTTATAACTTATTTTCTAATTTCATTTCAGTAATTTATATTTTCTTGAATCGCATCTTCGATGTCTAATCTTTGCTATCACCACTAAAACTGTTCCTACCTCTGAGATTTGACCTGACAATTTCATCTATATGTGCTTATTACATAGTAACTGGAACCGACGTACATATGTAACAGACTGACACACACACACAAACACTCAAGATTTCTCCTATCACCATAGGAATAGAAAAAATATCATTTTTGACGTTTACCTGTAGACGTTTTACACGAATTTCACTTGGTTCATTCAGTGTATCCAATCCAGTGATATCATCCAATACTTGTGCGACCAAGACGGAATCATCACAAGCCAAATGTAAATCTGTACAACCGAATTCTTGACCATCCATAATTTTGCATAAATCACCAGACTGTGGGAATATTGTGAAAAGAGAGAGGAAGAGAAGGAGTGAGCAAGGAATATGTGTCAATTCTTAATGATGTTAATCCAAGACATTGAGAGATGCAGTGATTACATAACTTCAAATAATCAATTGTTTAAATGAAGTTATACAGTAGACAAAATCCAAATCAACGTTTTGATTAATCAGTCACTAATAATTAACCATTGTCATGTTTTTTCTGTATAAAAGGTTTGTGGAGAGGATGAATTGTTTGGAGTTAGATACGTAAGCAATTGGATGCGCACTGCTGAGGAGTCCCACAATGGGACGAAACGACCGTCCAGTGCTTCCAGGTTTTCCCTGGTGGTCTATCTTCAATTGACTCATGTTTTCAACTATGAGAATTGGATGATAGTTCAATGGTCTTAGGATTAAACGCTCATTGATAGATCTGAAAATCCTGTGTTCGATCCCCAAACAGTTTATAAGTGCACGTAGTTGAGGGTTCGTACACAAGGAAGAGACAACTATCCAGTGTTTCCTAGTTTTTATTAGCTACCTAAATGAAACCAGTCATGTTTGTCCGGTTCTTGATGTAGGGACTACTAGGTTAAATGAGTTGACATCGCAGGGCAGAATGTTTAACACTGAACGAAGGTTTATTTATTAAGTAATACGACATGAAATCAGATATGAAAAGGATGAATTGGATGAACTGGAAAGGATTGCCCAGGACAGGGTTGGATGAAGAACGGTGGTATAATCCTAACGAATGAAAAGAACTCGACAATAAAAATCTCTACCTTCGTTTATCGAACTGTTTCTTAAATAAAAATGTGTGATAATCAAGATGGTTATCATGAATGAATACTATAGAATCTCTTGTAAACTGATAATTGCTTCGACATGACAGAATTGAAAGGGACATTAAAGAGATACAGGCGAGACTACAATTTACGGGCGACCTTTGAACGAATCCTAGGTGACCTTGAGAAACGTTAGCCAATCAGTGAAAATATATCATACAAAACCAAATAATTAAATTGGATGCACTTATTTTATATGGTCCAAAAACTTGCCAATGTTAGAAAAAGGTTCAAAGGTTCCAAAATCGTAATGCATAAGGTAGAGGAACTCATCCATATGCCTCCATAATAGTTGATCTCTGGAACCATGATAAGGTCATAAAAAACATCTCAGACTCGACCGCATAGCTTCATTATTGTTTGTGTATACTCCGGTTGTGTAAGTTTGTCAATTTTATTATGGATATGTCCCTACAACACTCATACCACTGAACAGCCGAAGCTTCAGTAACATCTGCGATTATTGCAGCCAATGTTACTGGTGCTTTTATTATACAGTTGACGAAAATATATTTTAATATGCCTTAGTCTCAATCCGGATCGAGCGATAAAGGTTCTTATTCTAGCAAACGTCTTCCTTCAAGATATACTACATCGATGGGCAACATCATGGTAGTCTGCACAAGGTCTACAAGTCATTTAATACTCGTAATTACGAATACAGCAACTTCTTAGTAGTTTCATTTGTTGTAGCCGCTTAATTGTCAAATGTCCTCTAAAATTCTCTGTGAACCGACCGTACATGAGCATCAGATACTAAAATAGGCGTCGTGACCTTGAAGTCCTTCAAACGCTTCTGATTGGTTCGTCCATAAATTATAGTCTCGCCGAGATACATTACCAAAACACATTGAAAACATTTCTACTTAATTAACTTACTTGAGTATCCCATACTTGTGGTGGTCCCATACCAGATCCAGTGACAACATATTTACTATTCTTAGTAATGACAACACAATCAACTTTCATACCTTCCATATTGTAAACATTTTGACGAGCGCTTAAATCATCCATTACTGGTTGATCAATACGTATAGTGGAAATACCTGATGCTCCGATTCTGAAATTTTCAAATTAAACAAAAACGTGTTGAACACAAAGATATCAACTAAGAAAAAAGAACTTCAGAGATAGTTTGACAGTTGGAAAAGTTTTCTGTGAGACTACAATATGAAGACAGACTAATTAGATTCAAGATAAGAGTTCGTGGATTTCATATATCCATATGACACTATAGCTGATGTCAGTTCATGATGAAAAGTCGAACATTAATTTCGAACCCCAGCTCTCAATCCTATTTCCTCAGACTAACTTATAACCCTCTTTAGACCGTAGTACGTAATTTCTGTAGTTCAGATTGGTCTTCGTCACCGATTGATATCAACTGGAAAACTTTGAAAATAAGAGAGCTCTAGATAGTTGTTCTGTTTTTAAGTAAAGACTTCTCAACCACATACACTTATGAACTCAACATTAGGAACTGAACCTCACAAAATCTTTAAGTTTCTTGTTGACATATCAATTCACATCAAAATCCAACGTTAAATTAATCATCTTATCGTTCAATCTTCTTGTCCAACTTGTCCACTGAGCCGGGATCCAATGTTAGAAAAATTTAGTTTTAGCCAGTTAACGATATTGAGCAACCATTCTCTATAGTCTTCAGCGGGTAAATTTCTCACACATGATACGGCTGAATGACACTTCAAAGCTTCTCACTAAGACTCCGAAAATTTCCTCTGACATCTAGTAGGTGGTAGAATCGTTGATACACACTCTTGAGGAGTCGTATTATGAGACGAAATAGCTATCCAGTACCTCCAGATCTTTTATGGCTGTCTACCTAAGACTGATTCATGAACTAAGGAAAATTCAACAACATCTACAACCCTTTTACTGAAAATGTTGTTTCACCTCTACAGAGAATACATTACATACTTAAAAAGATATCTACAAAAGAGTGACTACTATATTGTGCATTATTTTCCAATGATGTTGAGATTATAGTTGAAGTCATGATTCAATTGAAGCTAGATCACCACGGAAAACCTGGAAGCACTGGACGACCGTTTCGTTCCATTAAGGGACTCCTCAGTCGCAGTGCGCATACACGACCCCGCACTCGCGAGATTCCAACCCAGGACCTACCAGTTTCGCGCCAGAGCATTTAACCGATAGACCACTGAGCTGGCTGGCATCCAACTGTGTTAATCTCTAACTTCAACCAATCCACGATGTTTGAGGAACCGTTCACCAATTGTCTTCAGTGAGTTGATATCTCTACAACAGATTTGGTTGAACTCCACTGGTCACTGCTTCCCACTAGAACTCAAGGAAACATTCCTTACAGTCAGTCACTAGTGAACATTGAGATTAGATAATAAAATGAAGAGGTGATCAGATCTATTTTTAGAGATCACTCTGTTAATTCGATGAATGATTTAATCGTTTTAGCCATAAAATACAGATTATATTTCTAAATTTCTGGAAAATTATTTACTCTGTAGTTTTGTAAACAAAGAACCATAGATAACATACAAAAAAGAATATAACCTTTTGTCATACTCAGTTATCTCCCTACTATCGATGAAATGTCTGAAGTTTAAACTATTTCAGACGGACGTGACGATTCTACAGGATTTGATCCTCCGTGAAGTAATTTCTGTATCTTGCTTGGAAGTATTATACTGTGGTGGAACGATTGTCTGACTAAGATCAAGCTGTAGGTTAAACTTTCATATACATAAAATCAATTCAAACTTACTGATCTGTTAGATCCAATCTATGATTATGTCCTATAGGATAACTGGTTACCGATAGAGGTGCTTTAACTATACGTGATTGTGTTTGTAATGATTGCAGACTTGTTGCAGTCATACCACCAGTCTGTGTTAATAAAGATAAAAGGAAGACGAAAACATTTGTATGAAAAAATGCATAGAAACATGATCTGATGATGAGTATGTTAAATCAAAGAAAATAACTGGGAGAAATAGATGTTTCAGAGCTACTGCCGGGGGGGATTGTTATATTCGCTTCTACTATGTAATTATTAAAATGATCGTTTAATGTTATATTCGTATTGTTTTATTCTTAAACTTTCATTCTCACTTATCAAGCGTCGATATATGTGTTACGGCTCTGGAGATCTCACCAATTAACCGCCAGTAATAGATGAGAACTATCCAATACCGTGAATTAATCGAAGTTAGATATTAATACCATTGGATGTCGGCTCAGTGATCTAGAGGTTAGACGTTCACGCGCCAAACCGAAAATTTGGTTTCCGGGTACAGAACCGTTAATGCGCACAACACTTGTCCAGCACTTTCAGGTTCGTAATGATGGTCTAGTTAAGATCAGTTCATGATTTAAACAGTGAAAATTCTACAGTCTCCACACTTGCTTATTGTTCCATTTTAAAATCGCTAATGAATTCGTTAAGTGCAAGTTACGATGCTGACTGCTGAGGAATTCCACAATAGGACGAAACGGCCGTCCAGTTCTTCCACGTTTTCTATGGTGGTCTAGCTTCAATTGACTCATGATTTCAACTATGAAATTACGAGTTCTGATTTGTGGCATATTCTTGTTATGTAATCAATGCACATAATTCTATGAGTTCTCGAGTCTTGATGATGACATAAAAATTGATGGTTCATTTGTTTTTTGAGTTGGACATCGAGATTAGGAGACTTTTGGACCAATAGAAATTAAGAGTTCGTGGTCACTGCTCATAGACCTTCTATTGTTGGTCAAATAAAAGGTCATTAGTCAAATTATCGAAAACGGAAGGGGTTTTGTGGAGATTTCAGTATTTTTCAAAGTTGAAATCGTGAGTCAATTGAAGCTAGATCACCATGGAAAACCTGGAAGCACTGAACGGCCGTTTCGTCCTATTATGGGACTCCTCAGCGGTATGCATCCACAATCCCGCCTCGCGAGATTCGAACCCAGGACCTACCAGTCTCATTAGTCAGATTGTCGAAAAGCAAACTGGCAGTTCATAAACTCTATAATCGTATGATCCGATTTCATACTCCTACTTCTAAACTACAACTGACTACATTCAACAATGTAACATTGATTTGAGAGATGAATGATATCAAAATCTTTGTTAATGTCACATTCACAGATTAACTTATGACCATATAACCAATTGAACAATAAGCGTTGATAGATTGGATTAATATCGATCATTTAAGTGATTGAGGATTGAGTTGAATACTATAGGCTCCTAAAAATTCCCAACCGGCCTCAATTCAAACTTTTAATAATTTGTTAATCATATTCATGTCGACAGTTGTCTACACGTCATATCCAGAATGATAATAACACTTTTAGGAATTAACTGCCTAATTCATAGAACACATTGCGCGGGGAAATGGAGACAGACATCAGAAGAATGAACAAAAATTGGATAGAACTAGAATGGAAGGCTCAGAACAGAGTGAGTTGGAAAATGCTGGTCGGTGGCCTATGCTCCATTGTGGGTAACAGGCGTAAGTAAGTAAGTAATTATATCGATGAACAAATCAACAGTGAAAAGAATCCATAAAACTTACCGCTGCTCCATCTACTATACCTACGTTACCGTTGTCACTCTGGAAAGTAACAGGAAGTAGTAGGATAAATATAACGAAACACATTCTATCAAATAAGATAAAATATCTACACATAAAGCCAAATAATGAACCTTATTCTCGATCGATATTGTCATGACATCCTAGTCAATACTGTTCAGTTTAAAGGAACAGTTATGAATAATGAAACCACATTTGTTACATGCAAATGATGAATAAATGAATGGTAACTACTAGGGATTATTCGTGGACTATTATTACATATATTCTTATTGGGTAACTATTATGTAACTATGTTATACACATATTCATATCCCTCTTATTATAAGCTTCCGTATGACCTATTGGCTACGACTATACGATTAACCATTCCAAACTTATTTTCAATAGATTGGTTACAGACTCTCACACTCACAGACAATTTAGCTTCATCCATTTTATGATGTGATGCGGTTAGGTCTGCTTGTATATAAACTGCGTATGTCTGAAATACATGATTCATACAGTGGAAGCTGAGATTTGTGTTCGGGATTCAAACAGACACAGCTAGGCAAGAAATTGCTATACAGAGGATTAATAAGGACTCAGAGTTGAATCAAGTCTACTAGCGCTGTTTTGACACATCATAGGTTTATCACAGGAACAAAGTTGTGAGTCGTTATACAGATTGGCAACTTTGTCACGTGATAATTGACTGAAGGAAAAAGACATAACAATTCTCAACACTATCAATCATTTGGAGTTTTTGTTAAGCAGTTCAACTGTATACCCAGTCAAGATCTCAAATAACATGTCTTTGAATGATTCAGAAGGACAAAAATACTTATATATATATACCTAAACATCGTATACCAGCTTCCAGCTGAAGAGGAAATTAGGAAAAGAAGTTGGAAGTGGATCGGACATACATTAAGGAAATCACCAATGTGCATTACAAGGCAATCCCTAACTTGGAATCCGGAAGGGAAGTGAAAAAGAGGAAGGCCAAAGAACACATTACACCGGGAAATAGAATCAGATATGAAAAGGATGAATGTTAACTGGAAAGAACTCGAAAGGAAGGCTCAGGACAAAGTTGGCTGGAGAATGATGGTGAGCGGCCTATGATCCTCCATGAGGGGTAACAGGCGTAAGTAAGTAAGTAAACATCGTATACATTATTATCCAGTTAGACGTCTAAACATTCTGACTCATTTCAGTCTTTTCGTTTTACATATTGAGTTTATGGTGCCGTAGAAAGTGCACATAATAAGGGTATTGAACCATAGAATACAACAAAGGATTAACTAATCGAACGATAATCAGTGAAAACAACGACGATGGTCACAGTAACAACCACAACAACAACAAAAGTAAGAAAAAGAAAAAGTTTTTAGTTGCTTACCAGTAAATGTTTCTTTTCTTTGACTAGTAAAACATAAGGAAAATGAAAATAAACATGAATGATAATGATAATAATAATGATAAGGTGGTTGAATAATCGTAGATATACTTAGCTAAGTCAGATAACTACAATGAAATCATAAACCGATCAATGTTAGACCAACATTAAAAACCCGGAATCACTGGACAATCATTTCGTCTTACTGCGTGGGACTCCTCAGCAGTGAGTATATACAATCTCGAACGCATGAATAGCTTCCATGACCTTCGGTCTTATTGAAGTTAGATATCAACACTACTGAATGAATGACTTAGTGGTTTGGAGGTTAGGTGTTTACACGCGTCAGCTGTCCAGTGCTTCCAGGTTTTCATTTGTGGTCTAACTTAAATTACCTAATGATTCTAATGAAATTCAACAATATCCATACCCCCATAATGCAAACAGATAACCACATTTTCAGTCCACATGTAATAATCTCGATTAGCAATTTATTACTTAAACAAGAAGATTCTGCTTGTGCTGTTATTTGAACACTGAGATTTTCTTGCTACGGATTGTTCTAGATTCGTTTTATTTTTGTTACTAGCTAATGCATTCCCTGACCATGATACCTCATTTAACTTCTATCATATTAGAATAAAGTATGCAAGCAAACTACATTCATATGCCAACAAACTCTACGGGCGTGGGTTCGAATCCCACCCCTGACACTAGACACTAGACCTATCTCTATTTCCATCAGCACACTAACACTGATTGGTTAGGGATAGGTCAATCAACATAGTACAAACTAAGCCGAATTAGAGCATATAACTGTTAGGACTTTAACCTACTACCAAGTTTCACTTGAATGTTTACAGTAGATATTTACGTTGACAGTAATGAATTCTGTAAAAGAATATCACTATTCAAATCTTCACATGTGTGAACTTGATGTTGAGTTGATATGCTCATTGTTTTTATCACGGTTTGATTTAGTTAGATAAACCTTGAAAAAATGATGATTTCCGCAATGTATATTCTATACACCTCTAGTGACTTGTCCTAATTTCCTCTTCGGCTGGAAGTTTGTTTGCTCTCTCCCACAGGAGGTTGTTGCTGATAGTATCCGACCAACGGATGACGAATATTTTTCGTAGACAGTTTGTTTATAAATACTTGTATTTCTTAGATGATGGTTGTGGTAGTTCTTGAAGTTTTAGCTCCATACCGTAAAAGTTCGTAATGAGTTCCACATGTTCTTCAACTGTCGGAATACCGCCCTTGCTTTGCCAATCATTATCTTTACATCTACACTGAATCTTTCCTGTTCATCAATGACGTTTTCCAGGTATGTGAAAGTTTTTACATCTTCCAGAGCATCATCATCTATATATCCAACCCTACTTATCTGTTATCTCCTTAATTTCGTTTGATATATATTTATAACAAAATTGAGGTTGGACAATGATATCTTACTTGAGAATAAAATGTTTCCCCTTGATAAAAATTACTATAGTTAAATGAGTTACAAGAACTTAGCATGAGGAAAAATGACAACAGTCTTCATAAGTAAAGTTAATTGGTGGTTTCGTCCTATTTTGGACTCGTCAGTTAGATGCACCTACATACCAGTGTCAATACCCAAAACAACGGGGCTTAACATAAGAAAGGGAGGATATAATCCATTATAGTTTATATAATGGTGTTTGAGGGTGATCGCGAGGAAACCCTAGATCTAGATTTAGTGTTATTTGATAATCGTCAACAGAGTGTACAGTCACCACCTGTATAGATCAGTGGTAACGTCCTTATTTATAAAGTTAGGTGACGTGGTGTCAAATTCTCCAGGGAGCATCTATTCCCTCAAGATTACAAGTACACCTTGCTAGCAAGTTTCAAATAGGACGAAACTTATGTGAAGCAGGGTTTTATGTCGACGACCTCCAACCATCACCCTACATCAGCTTTAAGACTCCATATACGTGACATCGGTCATTATATAGTAATACATAAATTGTAGACATTCTTAGTGATTTGAAATAAGAAAGAAATTTGTTGAAAGAACTCTCACCAATAATAGCACTTTCAGGAGCAGCACAACATATCGCAGCTAATCGACTCCATGCACTACGTCCAGCTAATCCATTTGATTTACCAGCACACCAACCACAACATCCAGGTTTACATCTCCAACATGCCCATATTAAAGCAGAAATTAATAATAACAAAGCTAATAATAATCCAGCTAATAAACCATCGATCATAGCACCGCCTAAACCGAATAGTCCACCAGCTTGAGAAAGAATCAATCCAGTACCAGCATTAATTCCAGTTGCACCGGCACCATAAATATTACCATCTAATATTTGTAAGTTGTTGTGATTAGAAAGGAGATAAAAGAGTAAAACGCCATGAATTATTCAAGATTTAGGAAATCATCGTGACATTACAAAATGTTTGATGAGTTGGAAACTATTTCCAGCAAATGATCATGTTTACATGAATTGAATAGACTACAACAGTGAAATGAAGATGTGAGCTACTGCATTGTGTCAGTCATGTATGTCTTTGACGATAATAACTGCTCTCAGGATGATATAACATGATTCAAAGTTGATCATAGTAGAGTTGAACAGAAATGAATGTTATCAGTTCAAGATGTTTTTGTTTACCTTAGAGGAAACCTACAATTTGTTGAATCCTATCGACAGCTGACTATATGACTCCAATGTGAAAAAAATAATATTTAAGATTCAACGTGTAATAAGATTAGCGTCTAATATAAAACTACTACGAGTTTCTACTCTAAGTTAAATATGGTTACTACATTCAAGAACAAGAATAGGTCCACTGTGGTATATCACCAAGTGAATGTCGTCTACAATTCTTCTAAAGTAGACTTTTATAACGATTTAGTGGTGTCAAAGTTAACCTCTTATCATGATTACTGAATATCTTGGGTTAGATTTCCATTTGTAGTCATTTATGCTCACTTTTGAAGAGTCCTATACCAGCAAGAAACAGCTATCCAGTACCTCCTAGTTTACACTGCATGTCTGTGTTCAGTTAATGGAGTGAACTGTAAATGACTCGAAACTCATATAACTTTTTCATTATCAAAAAATATTGTCATGTACGAAGTTCTGAGTCATTTATTAGACTGAAAATCACCACGTTTTCAAAAATATCAGCTGAAGTTAAATACTTCAATCTAGTTCAATTAATAGTTACTTTCATCCTCTTTGATCATTCAGGTCATTTTGCATTGACACACGTTGGTTGTTTGCATCTTCCTTTTTGTGTTTAGAACTGCAATCAAACAGTCTCTTTTGACATATGTACATTCTAAGTCACAAGTATTTTCGACGGAAATAACTAGTGGCTAGCAGTGGAATCCAGAAAGCACGTTTCATCCCACTGGATGTACCTGCACCCCAGAGTTGATGTACATTCCGGGACTCGAACCCAGTACCGTTCATTTCAAACGCCACCGCGTTACCTAATGATTCCAAATAGCCGCTAACTTGTGTAATGGATTGTTTTTTAACTTAATTAAGTGATAAACTGAGTGATTACAAAGACACAATACATATACGCACACCAACCTTCTCAGGGTCAAAAGTCAGAGATTATGAACGAGAAACGCAATCAGAGGAAATAAGTCTGGTACTTAGTCAATGTTTTAGCCCAAGTGTCATAATCTGTGTTACAAAGACAACTGCTTATATGCTTCTGATTTGTGTAATAAGTTTGATATACCATAGGAACTGTATCTGTCATAATGGAATCAGACCACAGAACACAATACAAACCTTTTAAAATTATCACAAATAACATTATCTACTAAAAACACTGGTTAAATTTCTATTTTAAAACTAATCATTCTGATACAACCCCTTAATGGACAATGAAACCTTTTGAATAGAATCACTCAGTTTATTTAATATATTTCCAATTGTCAGTGACTTCATGAACTGATGCCTCGTCTTGGTTTGGCTGCCCCTAACTCTCTTCCAGCCTACTCATCCATCATAAAACTTCTCCCATCAAGGTAGGTGGTAATTCAGCATACATAACACATGTCCGAACTATCTCAGTTGTTGAAGATTAACTACTTCAAGCATTGCTTACTCTATGATCCCACACATCGAAGACATCGATGATAGAATACTAGTAACCTACATGTATTCCTTTAGTTGGCACATAAATATCTCTCCTATTTCTCAAATGATACAAGTTGACAAAAGTTAATCACGTTTACAGGTTCAGTGCCCAGAATCTGTCAGGTACCAAGATCAACAATGCTAAAGACCAGATATTTATCATTATTCAATTAATCAATCAATGTAAACCGGTATAAATACAAGTAGTAGGCATTTATTACATAAATGTAATTAATACTGTCAAATATTTTATTTTAGCTTCTAGATTTAATTACTCATTAAAATACACACACACGCACACACATACACAATCACTAAGCAACAACAACAACATGAAATGATTACACTTAACCCCTTGGTTGTCAACTATTTACATTCTCATCACACCATGGTGTTCTAATGTAGTAGTAGTAGTAGTAGTAGTAGTAACAGTAATAATAACCACCACATACTGACTTCGGTATTTCACATGATATAATTGAGTTAATCAAATTCCTTAATCTTTCAATTTAATCTAATCATTTCTTAAGAATGTATTAAATGGAATTTCGTTTTCATTGGAATTCAACTATTATGAGCGTGAAGATGATGATGATGATGAAGAAGAAGAAGAAGACAATGAACGGTATTGTGAATGGATTCAATAGATGATAATTTGATGATTTATATGTAACTCCCTTTACTTCAATACTCTGAGATATTCAATTCAATTCATTGAGAGATTACTGATATTTACTACTTACTGAAGAGGTTCATATTGGGACGAAACACTTGTGATTATTTATAACGCTAACAATCAATCAATAAAGATAATTTTCATTTATTAAACAAGAAAGAAAACAAATCACTTACCGGATATATGAATTTTACCTCCATGGTCTTCATTTCTAGTACCTAAACCAGGCATAACAACACCACCTGATATGATACCATCTGGTAGAACTTCTGGTAATGGTTTATCATCAGGAATGTTTGGTTTAATTGGTTTTAATAATTCAGGCATAAGTACTACAACTATTTCATCCATACTTTTAGCAACATTTCTACCAGGAGCAACCATGACTTTAGTATTGGAGACAAGTGAACCAATTTGATTAATTAAATATTGTCCGTTCCAATAGAAAGCTGTTTTTTTGTGAATGGAAAAAAGAATAACAATGGAGAGAGGGATGCGACGTGTATTGCTCTACACATATTTATGTATATACGCAAATATAATTTTGATTCCATGGTTACATTGAAAGGAGGGTGAACTTCGTTACATGTTAGCGGAACTTCTTAATATTGCCCGTGTGACCAAATTATTAAGTTCGCATATGATCTTCTGTTGAACAAATAACAGAGTGACCGCGAACAGTGAGACTGAGAAATCCCAACGGTGTATTCAGATTGTATCCTAGAGTTGTTCCATTTCATTTTTTTTCCGTTACTTTCAGAATGAAAAGTATCTTGATTCACATAATAAAATATGGATTATTAACGACGAAATGAGTTTGTGTGCCAGAAGTCCAATGTATCTGAGTTTTAACTCGTTGCGTTCGCGCTGTAGTCTAGAATACATTCACTCAAGTACTCCGTATCCTACTAATCATTTGATCTCTAATCAGTTTTGTTAGACTGTTCATGAGTCAGATGCCGAATGGACTTCAGTCATTAGGGAGTGAATTGATTTATTTCAACATTTTTATTAGCCAATTTCAGTTATCCTACCCATAAAAATGCTATGTGGTGTTGCAGCCGTATTAAAGTTGATCAAACTTTATCTGATTAATATCAGTATGGGATTGTGGATATTATTATGTTTTTGATTGAGATCATGAACAAATTGATGTTAGACCACCATTGTAAACCTGAAAGCATTGGACAGCCCTTTTTGTCTTATTGTGGGACTCCTCATAAGTGCTCATCCACGATCTCTCCTGCAGGATTCGAACTTCGGGCGATCGGTCTCGCGCGCGAACACTTGACCTTATTTGATGAAACCGGTTGGTATTTCTGCAAATGGTTTCCGCTTTGAAAGGTTTACAAACCCACCGCGTGGATGTGATTTTGTGGGGAAGTCAAATCCCTCCGATTCTTGGCATGAGAGCGTGGCATCTGAGGAAAATATACGTTACATGCATACCGGTGACGCATAAGTTTTCACCCAATGCAACCCATAGCATACGCATAGGTATATTCACTCACCTGGGAGAGTAGGTTGTCACTGCTCCCTTCGAACATATACGCCACAACTAACTGTCTCTTACGTATTACATGTATACCACTGGTAAAAGGACCTTCGTCTATGCACCTTATGACATACACATAAGCATACGCACTCTTTCAGGAAGGGTTGACAGTTACCTCTCTATAGTATTTGCTATCATATCATTTTATTATGTCTTTGACCTGATGGTTTAGGCCGCTGATATTACTAGGCATAGGGCAGACACCTTCTGAGCTTACGTTTCTTTTGTGAGCCCAGCGAGTACCCTTTGTATATATCAACATTCACAACTACACAAGCTGGAACTCATACAATTCATATACAAAAGCATACATATCGGGTAGCCCGTAACGATATTTTAAAGCCTCGAAGAGTGAACTCCAAGTAATCCACATAAAATATAAGAGTAGTGAACTAATTCAATCTCCACCAACCACCCCAAATTAATTAATAGCAGTGTCAAATTAAAAAAAAATTCTACAAAAAAGATTAACCAATCATAACCGTTGAAATATTAACCAATCACCAACAACATTTATTTATATCTAGTTCACACCAGTAAATGTTGAATTACATAAATTCAACTTAAAGAAACTTCTTTAAAGTAGTACACTACTAAATATAGAAATAAACTTTACAGAACGATGGATAGCCATAATGAACCTTTTACGTAATAATATCGAAATATCATACATTTACTTTTAAACATTATACAAGCAAGAAAATGAGGAACTAATTGAATATTATTTATGATTAAATTAACGAAACTAAATAAACAGCCCATAGCTACTAATACCATTATCAAATGAATGAATGAATGAATGAATGATAAATGTTACCACATAGTATATCATCAGTATGGATAGATTTATAGAGTTTTGCCCCCCCCCCGAATTGCTCTCTTTCTCTCTCTACCTCCCTCCCCCTCTCTCTTTCACTTTCTCTCTCTCTCCCTCTTCAACAGTAAACATCATATTCTTGGTAATAATGAATGGTGATAATAGTTTTCTTTACAGTTCTATATTTTGTATCATTTTGATAACCGTGTATGTGTACTTTGCAATTACTATATCATTCTACCTTTTTCCTTATTGTGTTTCTTATACAAACATATATCTTGACAGGAGGGGAACACCTTGTTATTACAATTTTAGATAGTTGTAATGATAACTGTAATTGTATTTCTCATTCTGATCTAATAAGTTACGTAAGATATATATAGTAGTAATGTAATCACTATCCTCCCTCCCTTGTAAACATACACATACATACACGATTGAAATGATTCACCATATCCATTGATAGAAAAAGAAGTAATTCAAAAGACAGAACTAGTTTATGACGCTATGGAAACAATTTATGGAGAGAGAGAGAGAGAGAGAAAAGAAGTGGAGGAGTGATTTACCCACATATGCACAATTGTGTATGTATATGTGTACTATAAGGGAGATGTATTAGAAATGAATATTTATCAGATATTATTGAAGTGAAAAAGTTTAACCAAACCATTTGTGAGTGGAAATGTTAGTTTACTGAGAGAGAGAAAAAAAATCATTACATTTTCACCCTGAAAGTTTTAGGTTCGAATCCCGTTGTATCTATTTCATTGTGGGCCCCCTCCCATAGAAGTTTAATGAATCTTAACACTTGAGTTACACATTGGTTTGTACTTGTTAATTAAGTTACCATTTGTTTGATCTTGTGTTTACAGTTCGATAAAGACATTATGGTCGGCACAAAACACTTTTCAGTTTTAATGAAAAAAGTATAGTCCAATTCATGAGTCAAGTGAAGCTAGACCACCATGGAAAACCTGGAAGCACTGGACGGCCGTTTCGTCCAGTGGAGTTCAATCAGGTCTGTTGGGAGATATCAACTCACGGATGACATTGGTGAATGGTTGCTCAATTTCGTGGATCAGTTGAAGTTAGATATTAACACCGTTGGATGACGGCTCAGTGGTCTGTCGGTCAAGTGCTCTGGCTCGAGACTGGTAGGTCCTGTGTTCGAATCTCGCAAGTACGGGATCGTGGATGCGCACTGCTGAGGAGTTCCATAATAAGAAGAAACGGCTGTCCAGTGCTTCCAGGTTTTCCATGGTGGTCTAGCTTCAATCGACTCATGATTTCAACTTTGAAAAATACTGAAATCTCCACAAAACCCCTTCTGAACATATCATATCTACTAAATAATTGTAAAGTGTTAACATTTTTAAAACAATGAAAAGGAGGGAGACCAAAAAATATATATTGTGTCAGGAATTGAAAGTAGACATCGTAAGGATGAATAGAGACTGAAAACAACTGTAAAGGATTATCCAGAACAGAGTTCGATTGAGAATGCTAGTTGGTGGCCTATTCTCCTCAATGAGGGGTAACAGGCTTAAGTAAGTACCACACATTTGAGTTTCGTTATAAGCATCAACACTTCAGATAAAATTACATCCAGTTGATAAGTTTGAAACATGAAGAAACGTTCAAGTGACATACCTGGAACCTATGTGCCGTGTTAAATGACACTCATCAAATAACTTGAAAACATTAATTTTGATGAAATTGTTACTTCCTCTTGGGATTCATACTTAGAATATGAAATGAACTCATTTTGATTAATTTCACAAGTTGAAATCATGAGTCAATTTAAGCTAGACCACTATGGAAAACCTAGAAGCACTGCACAGCCGTTTCGTCCTATTGTGGAACTCTTCAGCAGTGCGTAATGAAATCAACTCATTTTGATTAATTTCACAAGTTGAAATCATCAGTCGATTGAAGCTAGACCACCATGGAAAACCTGGAAGCACTAGACGGCCGTTTCGTCCAATTCTGGGACTCTTCAGCAGTGCGTAAAAAAGAATTTGTAATTGTTTATTCGCTAAGTTGTTTTTTTGGTTTGCTTATTTATTTCTCTTAACTTTTCATAAGTTTTTACAAATTTACATTTTTTTCATAATTCTATTTTTCACCTTTTCATTATAAGAATGAAAGATACACAAGGAGTGTGTGAGAGAGAGAAAGAGGGGGAAAGAGAGAGGGGGCGAAAGAGTTCACATCTATTTCAGGTATTCTAAGGTTATCATTATTGAAATATAAAAAAATGTTTAATATTTTTAGAAAATCGTAAAAACAATAAAAAAAAAGAAAAAAAAAAATTTTTTTTTACATTTTTCTTTGTGTACTTCATTGAATCGATCAAATTCATAGATCTATCTACTACCTTATTGATAGGGTAATGATAATGTCAAATAAATCTATCCAAAATATCAATATTAATCGATAAATGGTAATTATAGCATCAGTAATCATAATAAAAGGGCTTAGAAAAGAGACTGATTTGAAATCAGTTGAATGTTTGATACAAGCAAAGATGGATAGTAGCTACCAGTGGAATCCAGTTTGACGCGCGTTTCGTCCTATTGGGAACTCGTCAGCTGGATGTACTTATATCTCAGAGTTGATGTTCACTCTGGGACACGTTTTGTAAATTCACAAATGAATCCTCATTCCCTAACTTCATTTGCAAATTGGATTAAAATATAAGATTTTAAGAGAACTTCCAGTGATCATTGATCATGGGCTCCAGAATCCTGATTGGACAAATGGCGTATGAACGCATTCTTTGTCATTAACTATCATGGCACTGCATCTCCTAATGTTGCTCCACTGTCTTTTGAATTAGGCCTTTAAGTTGAAAACTCAAGGTATGGCTCTCCTAAGAAAACCACTTGCTTCGGTTTGAGGAACCGGGTAGTATCCCAGTCCTCACACAAATTAAATCATTTGTGTGGCACATATCTATTTGGTGCCTCCTTATACCAATGTTTATGTGTCTTACGACAATATAATCACCTAACTTTAACGTAGATTATGGCTTAACTAGAATGGTAAGTTAAAGAGAAAAAGTCCACTTTATCACCAACTTACCACCAATGACACCTTTGAAAGTATTTTGATAAGTTCGATCAGCTCCAAGAATTATCTCTTGTGATATTAATGAACCGTCCACAGAGACAATACCTGATGAAGAAGAAGAGGAAGAAGAAGAAATGCAGAGTTAACAACAACAACAGCAAAAAACATAGATGATTTACTCAACTGTTCATAATTGAAAAATTATAGGTTTAATTGTGTATTGTTATCATGGGCTTACCTGGATACTGATCTTATTTGAAATTAGACACCTAAATGTAACTAGATCCTAATGTTCATACACACATTTACTATACACTTGCCCGGCCACCAATGAGAGTAACAAGACTAAGAAATGACCAGGAAGCTTTCTGATAAAGATAACGATATGTAAGCTGAGATTATAAGTAGTTGCATAATCAACACCAATGTATTTCATTCATAATTTCTCATCTAGGGATTTGACTTTGAGACCATATGTGAGAGCAAGTGTTGAACGTCGAGTTTTCATGGTCCGGTAGGTTGACTGAGTTATGAAGGTCAACGCACCACAGACCCGAAATTTCGACGGAGATCGTGACACAGACTGCAGAAAAGAAGAAAGTGGCACGGCGAGTAGAACCACCGCAAGAACGACTGTTTTAAAAGGGGGACGAGTGTGGTGTTTGCTACTGATGTGATCATTACTCGAAAATGAAATGCCTGGAGGCAGAAGGTTAAGAAGATCGAACAAAAGAGAACGAGAACATAGAATGATTGGTGTGGAAAAGAAAGAACAATGAAATCTGAGACGATTGACTGATATTTTGCAAATAAAGTATTTGCTGTACAGGTCTCAGATTGTCCCTTCGATTGTCCCCACTTATGTTCTCGTTCACTACAATATGATTAGTTTTATTACGTAATAGGGTGCATCCTACATACTATACACAATATCTTGTACACATAATCATATATGATATTGCATCCTACATTGTAATATACAGAAATTTTGTCATCATTACACGTTTTCCTGCAATCGGTCTTCTCTCTAAGTAAGTAGTCAAGTGTTAAAGTGTTGTGTGCTAATCGCCATTATCGATTTACCCAATAGAACCGGTCATATTAGAGTAGCTCAATTATCTCAAATTATGTAATTATTGTAGGCCAGTCCTAAATACCGAATATCAAAATTTAATACTATGCATTAAATTTTGTAGATAAGTAGACACCATGGCAACCTACGCAAACTTCTGAACCATAAGTTCATTTATTCACATAATTTTTAGTGCTTTCATTTTGTTTTAATCAACTATTAACATCCCTCAAATGTGTGTAGTTACGCATCTCCATTAAATGCTTACAACTTATCCCTAACCTAATTACTTAGACATTCAAGAGGGACGATCAGTCACCAGGTACATACGTATGAACAACACTCGAAGTGTGAAGGACAGTGATATTACACTGTACTTCAAACAAAACTAGATAGAGTGGGGTTCAAATTTGAAAACAGTTGATTGAAATTCGAACCCCTTAACCACTAAGTCACTTATCTAACCAGTACTACCATAGTGATGTTAATATTTACATCCTCATCTACTCTTTGGAGAAACAAGGGGTGATCGTCATAGAATTGAAATTATAAATATATTTACTGATGAAAAGGGGTGTCATGATAGGACTCAGTACAGGCCTATGATATTTACGGATCTATAGATAGACGAATGGGTTACTCTTATACGATCGATTCCCTTCTAAATCAGCAACAGCCATTTACATACAACACATCAACACCCAATAGCTAACACAAGAAGAAGATGAATTGCAAGGAATTTAATATTCGACATGGGACAAGCATCATGAAACGAATTGGTACAACTGTTTTATCTATAATAACAAAACATGACTTTCAAGCATTACAGAAATTTATTGATTTAAAAGCAATGACAAACAAGCAGAGGGTAAAGGTGATGCGGGAAATTTAAGTGGAAGAAAATGTATGGGGGGGTTATCGTTTCCGAATCCCACTTGCCTGTATTCATAAGATTGTGTCTGTACATCAAACTTTTGTTCAATTGTCAATAACTAACTAAATGATACTTTTATCCTTATAAATACATTATATAATGCATGAAGTGAATATTGATATAGTGTACTTCATAGTATGCATTGATTGATCATGAATGGTAAACAAGATAATGTTTCCATAGATTACACCACTGACTGATCTTAGTTTAACTATCATTGTAAATCAGGGACAACTGAACAGTTATTTCGTAATAGTATGGAACTTCTCAGAAGTGTACACCTGAGACGTCGCCATCAGCGACTGAAATCGGAGCCTTCTACTTCGTGAGCTAAAATTAAAGTAACGTCTTTAAACGCCGTATCCTAGTAAAACTTCCGCGTTCACTAATGACTAACTTCATTACATACTTCCTGAAGTTCTAGTGAGAATATATAAAAATCGTGTCAGATGTCAGGTAACTCCCGGCTGAAGACAATGGAGGCTGACTTAGTGGTCTATAGGTTAAGGGTCTCCGTGTGAAATGGGAGTTCTTAGGTTTGACATTTAATGCGGATAGAGGTGTGCGTACCGCCCAGGAGTTTCATACTATAACAAAATAGCTATCCAATCCTTTTTGGTTTCCAATGGATGTCTAACTTAAGATGGTTCATAGTGCCAATAATATGTTTCTTGTCACTAAATTGTTGTAAATCAGTTATCAGCCTACTATTTAGATAAATGTAATTTTTTAAAGATAATGAATTGTGACCCAGTAATTTCTGTATATCATCAAACAAGTTTCCAATTCAAAGATGTGGAGGGTAAATCGTCAGTCTTTCTCGCGTATTGATTGAGATGAGCCAATAGGCGTTAGCGTATCAGTAGTTCTCTGAATCCAGGTGAGAGGGGGGTTAGTATCAATAGTTTAGGAGTAACAGTACAAGGCCATATCAAATTCAACCAACATTATAATTAGTTTTCGTATTGATTGTTTGAGTCTTCTCATCGATGTTTAGAACTGCAGTTGATTAGTCTCTTAATGACATATATGCATCCTGTAAGGACTAGCTTGATATTGCCTTAAATCACAAGCGAATAATACTGAGTTCCAGTTCTAGAATAAACATCAACTCCTGAATATAGGTACGTCTGGCTGACGAGTCTCAGTTGGGACGAAACATACATCATGGATTCCGTTGCTAGTCACCATACATCTCTGCTTACAATCAACGGGTCAATGATTAATTATATTGTAGTACCAAAAGAATATTATGACATATTAGTTAGAATGTGGATTATTGTTTGGTGTTCTTTAATTCACATGTACAATACTTACATCATTGAAATTTTACAATGTCATTCAAACTGATTGACTAATATAGGTATCTATGAGTATGTATGTAGATATAGATTGATTGATTGGAAGAACTGTATTTGTCTATGACAAGAAACTGTCAATAGGATCGGGTTCTATGAACTGTCTATCATTCTTACAAAATACATTCAAAAAAGTATCTAAGATATAGTTATAGTTCCACTGTTTCAATATATCAATTACTAAGTACTTGATCTCAATTTCAAGTTTAAGTTCTGTACATCATCCATTAAAAATGGTAATTAAATGTGATTCTAAATGAAATTTCAAATGGTATAAGAAGTAATCATCCCAGATCATTCAGTACTTCAATCAAACTATATTGTCAATCAAAGTATACAAGCTATAATGATGTATTGTTTTATTCAAAGTGAATTAAATGAATATAAGTCTGTTTAAGGATGAAATAACAATTGGAAAGAACTGGAAAGGATTGCTCAGGACAGAGTTGGATGGAGAATGTTGGTGAACGGCCTAGGCTCCTCCACGAAGGGTAACAGGAGTAAGTACGTTAGTTAGGGATTTGTGAAGTTTTTAGTATTATAACAGTTGAATTCATGAGTCAGGCTATGCTAGATCAGTATTGAAAACCTGGAAGCACTCGTGAATTCAATTGTTAACTTACTACAATCTCCAAAAACCTTCATTCTGGTAATAATCATGTGCTCGCTAATGACTTAGCTTCAAGATCAATTTCTTTGAGTTCTAGCTAGAAGTAGTGATCAGTTGAGTTCATTCCATGTGTCGAGTGGAGACAGTTACTAGCCTCAGATAATCGATGAATGGTTGCGTAGTCATTTATGGATCTATAGGAGTTAAACGTTGGCACTGTTGGGTGCCGGCTCAGTGATATAAAGCTTTAACGTTCGCACGCGAGACCGAAGTTCCTGGAATCGAATCATACTTGTGGGATCGTGTTTGTATACTAATGAGGAGTCCCATACTAGGACTAAATGGCCGTCCAGTCCTTCCAGGTTTTCAATGATGGTCTAGCTTAGACCGACTAGTAAATTCAACTGCCTAAGAGGATAATTGTGCTAGAGTTTAAATTCTCTGAGCTGATTAGTTTAATGATGAAGATTCTATTGTCCCTCTAGAATAATATTATCAATACTGGGAAAATGTTGAAAGAACATGAAGGGATTCCTAGGCACTTGGTACTGAGTTCAATAAACAATTAATAAACATATCAAAATCAATCCAGTTTATCCAACAATTAGAAAGAAAATGGTGAAGAACTATAAGATCAATAATTGAGTCGAAGAAGACAAATAACATATGTAAGTAGACAATGACAAGATAAGTGTCAACAATAATCACTCAAATTCAAGGTCAACATCGTACAGGAACTCTAGTGGTTTACTTCACACGGAATAGTATATTGACAATATTATCCGAATGGCAAATGAAAGTTTCACTATGAAACCATTCAGTTCAGTTTTGTACCAAACAATGAATTGGTTGTGTCCACCCGAGTTCTTGTTCGCTACACTACCACTGTTATGATACTATTTATCCCAATGGTAGATAAGTTAAGCTGATCAGTTTTATTATTAGAGAGATCATCAAAAATACTAAATGAAGCCTAATCAATAAAAATGTTTTTTTATAGTTGAAATCATTAGTCGATTGAAGCTAGACCACCATGAAAAACCTGGAAGCACTGGACGGCCACTTCTTTCCAGTGTGGGACTCCTCAACAGTTCACATCCACGATCCTGTCTTGCGATATTCCAACCCATA